AGGCAGAAAGTTGAATGGTGGCTGCCAGGGGCTGGAGGAGGGGGAGCGGGGAGTTAGTGTTTAATGGGGACAGAGTTTCAGTTTGGAAGATGAAAAGGTTCTGGAGATGGATGGTGAATGTTCTTAACGCCACTGAACTGTGCACTCATAAATCGTTAAGGTATTACATTTCGTGTTGTGTGTATTTTACCACAGTTAAAAGGAAAAACTTTTAAAAAATGCATTTCAGAAGGTTCTTACGGGAAGTTCTGTGAGTTCATGCCAAGATGACAATGATTTAAAAGTAGCTAAACTCACTCGCAGCCATGCCAGGGACCCAGGGCCTCTATTCTTGCAGCCTTTTCTCCACACGTCCCACCTGGAAGCATGTGCCCCACAGGACAAAGCCCTGCACCAGGCCAGTTGTCGCCTTACAAACCTCTTGGCCCAGCTGGGGGTATCCAGCAGAGGTGAATCATTAGTGCCCCTTTCTGAGGCCCCTGCCCTCCTCCTCCTCCAGGTCCCCACTGTGCAGCCATTGCTGCTCCTCAGGCAACTGGCACCCTGGGGAGGGGCTTGCACAGACCCCAGGGTGGGGTGGGCCCTAGTCAAGGCCCCACAGTGTGGCCTCCAGGCTGCAGAGTGCGGTGCCACCACCTGGGGGGTGAGGCTGGGGGACAGCATGCATGGTGACACAGAGCAGGAGTGCCATCCTGGCAGCCCTGATATTACTATAAATGATTGTGGGGAAATGCAGGAACACTCTCCTGGTGGGTTACATTCCTGAGACTGTGAACACCTCACCGTAGGGGGGTGGCAAACGCAGAAGGAGGAAGGGGGAGAGATGGAGTCCCCCTGCCCACCCAGAGGGACAGTCAAGCTGACAGGAGGCTCAAGACAGCCCCAGCCTCCTAGGAGGCTCTGGCCCCAGGCCCACCCCCAGGGGTCTCTTGGGACATGACAGCACCCCCAGACTGAACACGGCATTCCGGGCCCCGGTAAGACCATCTTGAAGGCAGTGCAGGTGTGGCTGACCCCGACACTCTGGATCCACCATGATCCTGTTTCTACCCCGTACTGTGTGGACAGCCCCAAACAAGCTCAACTTCCCTGAGCCTCAGTTTCCTTGTCTGTACAATAGACATATTAAAAGTCCTGTAAAGATTCCCAAAGCCTGAGGCAGCGCACAACAACTACACCCTCAGACTGGCCATTTCACATGCTTTCGTCAGTCCAACAGGTGAGTGTCACCTGATGCGCTCCCAGGCCCTGTCACAAGCAGAGGCCGCAAGGCCTGCTCAGCTACAGCAGGACAGGGTAAAATCAAGCGACAAGCACAGGAAGCTCACAGAGATGCAAGCCCGAGATAGCAAGCCCGGGAATGCATTCGGTCCAATGCAGGGGTTGTAACAGGAAGTCCCGGCACGTCTTCAGACAGGGCCCCGTCACATGCGGGATTGGAGTGTCAGGAAACGACCACCTGTACCATTTTTACTTAGTCTTTTTACTTTTTATTTATACTGAATATTTTTCTCTTACTTTTCACTTTCTCTTTTTAAATATTGTTTATTTAGTTGTATTTTACATTTCTTTTCTGTTTCTGTTTTTATTTCTTTCATCTAGAAGGAATATAAATACAAACATTATAGCCATGAATGAAAAATCGCTGTCCATTGCTATACACAAAAAGCAACTTCAGGCTGGGCGCGGTGGCTCGCGTCTGTAATCCCAGCACTCTGGGAGGCCGAGGCGGGAGGATCCCTTAACGTCAGGAGTTTGAGACCAGCCTGAGCAAGAGCCGCAGCACACTTACTCCCTGCTGTATCGAGCTCCACCCCAGACAGGCCCTCCCTAGAGAAGACGTGGCCCTCCCATCCAGCTCTCACCACGCACACCCCAGCCGGGCACGCAGTAGAACTCGGTAAATATTTTTGGTAAGTAAAGAAATAGATTTTGAATCAGCATTGCAAGGAATTTTTATTTCCCTTCTATTATGTACTTTATGTAAACAAACAAAAATGTGCTTTAGCTGAGTCCAAATTTGAAAATCCAAAATCCAAATTGAGCTCGTGGAAAGTCAAAGCCCGCCCCCTGTGGTCCTCACTAGGCCCGGCTCCCCCACAGCATCTTGTGACTGGTCAGGCGATGACTGTGACAGGGAGGCCCAGACGTCGCTTTCACCTCCTGTGGCCACATACACGACTCGCAAGAGGTACATACGCGGGGACCCAAAACCCCAGGGCAGATTTGGAAGGTCCATCATCAGCCAACACATAGGACCTAAGTGACCAGGTCATCCCACCTCGTGGGACCTAAGTGACCAGGATTCCACATCAAGGGACCTAAGTGACCAGTCATCCCTCATTTCTCAGTGGGGCTCAGACAGAGGGAACAGCATCACAGACCGAGGGAAGGGCATCAGGGCAGAGGAGAGTGAGTGGCCAGGCCATGAGGGCTGCGGCGTGCCCAGGCAGGCAAGACCAGGGAGGGAGGGGGTAGGATCAGGACGGATCTCACAGCAGCGGGCAGCCAGGGGTCGTGTTGGCGAGTGGCATCCCATTCAGGTGTTTAAAGGGTTGTAGAAGCTGAAGAGGAGGCAGGGAGGCCTGCCAGGGACTCCCGCACGTCCGGGCAAGAGAGTGGGGCAGTGGTGAGGGGGCAGGGAAGGGGAACCCCAGGGGAAGAGCAGGGAGGCCAAGTGTCCATCTCACCTGCAGAGCTGGGGGTGCCGTGGGCACAGGGACGTGCTCCAGACCCACATGTGGCTGCCCCCACTTCACGTAAAGCCCCAACCCCGTCCTTGCAGCCAGCACAGACTGGTCCGTGGCAGGCATACGGCTCCTGTATACCCCACCAGACACCAGGCCCTCTCACCCACCAGGACCCACAATATCTGCAGAACAGAGGGACCAGCACTTGGAGGGAAATGTCAGGGATGAATGAAGGGTCCCTTCATCTCTTGTTTCCTTCCCAGGCTGGCTCAGTCCCCACCAGCTGATGGTCATCCTGCCTAGGAACAGGCAGGCACCGCAGTGACCAGCTCTGCTCTTCCCTCTGCCTTTGTTCATTGTCTTCAGCATATGCTTGGCCCTGGGCCTCCTGTGGCCACCAAAATGTTCCACAGACCCATTCTCGTTTGGGTTTCACATCTGCCCAACGCTGCCTTTGACTCCCTTGCCCCTCGCTTTACTGGGGCTCCTCAGTGTCCTCATCTGTAAATGGGGGTCCTGATGGGCCACCTGGGGCAGGTGGGGAGGATGCAGCGGGAGCTCTCAGCACACGCAGCAGCCACTCCCTGGGTCACTGTCCTAGTCCACAGGCCACGCCCGGGGCCCTCAAGGGGGCACAGGACAGCAAAGCCAGACACGTCCTCTGAGGCTTGTGGCCCTCCTGGCCTCGCGCAGTGGCCAGGCCTCTCGGGACCAGGTCACTTCAGCTGTAACCTCAGCAGAGCACGGCCGCAGGCCTCTGTGTGCAGAGAGTGCAGCCCGGTGCAGCTCCGAGGGCCTGCACGTGGGGAGGTGCTGGTCTTTGTGTAGACACAGATCTCAGCCCCCAAGGAGTGGAACCAGTGGCCTCCTGCCTCCGTCAACAGCCCAGCTGGGGACAAACCACTTCCTCCCCTCCATACCCAGCTGGCCAGCCCCACCCGACTCCGGGGCCGCTGAACAAGTTGTTGGGCTCAGAAGACTTGTGTTGGGGCCCAGGGCGAGCTAGTGGAGTGCTCTGCGCCTCAGTTTCCTCTCCTGCAAGAATGGCTGAACAACGTCCGTCATGGGCACTGGTGAGGACGGATGTGAATAGTAGCAGAGCTGCACTCAGCACACCCAGCCTCAAAACTCGGTGAGCCTGGCGCGACTTAGGTGCCCCTTTACAGACAAGGAAATGGAAGCAGAGTCTGCGCAGCTACCCAAAGTCACAGCACTGGGGCTGGCTCCAGCAGGGGCTCTGCACCCCACAGCTCCTGTCCCCCCGCCACCCCAGCTTCCTTTCTCTGACCTGGTCTCAGAAGCCCCAGGCTCACCTTTCTGTCACCCTCAGGGGCCGGCAGCAGCTCACCACCCCATAGCACTCACCGACCCCAGGAACATGCAAATGGCCCCGATGAGCCACAATGACAGGAGCCCCCGCACTGCGCACCCCGCAGGTTCCCAGGAGCCCAGCACTCTGGGTGTGGCTATGCCCTGTGTCCGTGAATATGCCCCTCCCCCTCCCCCCCATCTTCCCTTCTGCACAGCGGGCACGACCATGGTGGAATCAGGCTGTACGGCCACTGCCACCGTGACCCTGCCCTCAGGCTATGAGCCTCTCAAGGTGGCCTTGCAGCTGCCCGGTGCTGTCTGGCCATGGCACGGTGTCCTGAGGAGGCCCAGGTGGGCTCAGCCCTCCTTCCTAGTAGCGCCGCACTACGCGGCCCTGGTCTGTTCATATCTAAACAGCAGATTGCCGAGGAGGCTTCCGCAGCCACACTGCGTGGAAGGCCTAGCCCCCAGGATATGTCTGGGACCATCCTCCTCTGTTCAGACAGAGGAAGACCATTGGCCCCCCAGCCTGGGTCCTGTGAGAGGGCCTGGGCCAGGGTCCCGCTGCCTGAGGCAGGGGCACCTGCAGCCCAACCAGGGAGGCGCCCCTGCATCTGGTCAGCCTCGGACCCGGGCCCTCGCCGGGCTTCGCTGAGGGTGCAGGCAGCCACTGTCCATCTCGTTAGAGCTGAGCCGTCCCCAGACAACGGCCAGCACTGTCCCGGTGCTTGGCAGTTTACAAAGGCTTCTCACACTTGCCATTTGATGCTCATAATAACTCCAACTTTTTGCAGATAATGCCAGAGGAACCCACAGAAAGAGGACAGAACAAAAACAAGACACTGTTCAGAGCTACCAGAGCAGCTTCCTGCCTTGAAAACATCCGTCTCCCTCAAATGGCTCCTGCTCTGAATGCCCCCACCACCCCAAAATCCCCCTCACAAAACCAGGCAGGCTCTTAGGGCTCAGAGAAGACCCTGGGAGCCAAGCCCCACTCACCGGTCTTCCGAAGTCGAGCGTGTTTCTCCTCCGGGGCTGAACTCATGCAACAGCAAAACACAACTTCCTTTTTCTAATTTTCACAATATGGGTCACAAAACGACGGTGTATTTGCATTTCCGCATCATTACACCGGAGAGAGAGGAGGTTGGCTGGCTGGTTCTGGAGGTGCCTCATTTGCAGGGTGGCCGGGACAACAGTGAACATACCGTCCACAGCTTTCGCCACGCCGGGCTGTTTGGCCCGCAGCAGCCAGTGCTGGTTTAAAGTTTAACAGGTGCTGCCTGCAGGGCCCCTGAGTGCTCTGGGCACAGAGGACCCACCATAGCCTGCTTCTGCCTCGGTGGGCTTTGCCAAGTAGATCTGTGGCTGCAGAGGCCTTCAGGGAGGAGGGGTCCGGCAGGCGGCGAGGGAGCTGGCCCCAGACCAGACAGGCCCGGAAAGGGCCCAGAAACACCATTAGAGGCTTCCTCAGACCTTTCTGGGTGGGCACAGTGGCATGGCCACGGAAAGTTGGGAAATGAAGAGGCCCTGCTGCAGACAGATTCTTTCAAGGTGCTCCCTGGGAGACCTGGTCCCTAGGGCTGCTGCGGCAGGGCCCAGCACCTGACCCCTGGACAGACTCACCAGGAGGGCTCCCTTGTTGTTTTGGGGGAGAATCAATAAACAATGACATAGGTGTCTTAAAAGGCTTAGATTGCAAATTCTGCCTCAATTTTAGTAACAGCTTCTTAATTCAGCCTTGAATTCTTACTTTAAAAACAAAGCAATTTCTCTGGGCTTCAGTCTCCTTGGTGTCAGACAGGGGTACAGTCCCTCACAGTGCCATGAGGGGGCTCCCTGGGCAATCATTGACAAGGCACCTGTGGGAGCACCTCGCACGGAGGACATAACGTCATTTGGGTGTGTGACCAAAAAATTCAAGCTATGTTGCTTGATATTCTGCTGTGCTAAAAAAAATAAGAGAAGATAAAAGAAAAGAAAAGAAAAGAAATCAAGCTATGGCTAAAGAAAACATCAAAGGGACCAGTTAAGAGGATGATCTCTGCAACCCGTAGTGGCTTCCCTCAACCTCACCACGGAGCACGAAGTCGAGGGGTTCCGCCACGAGTGCCCAGATGCCGTCTGCGGGCCTTGCTCCCACACTCAGCTCCTCGAAATATTCACAAAGTTTGTGGGGCGTGCGGTGGGGGTGCTGGGCTGGAATATGCTACTCATTTCACCCCCCAGGTATTCTTCCTTTCGACCCAAGAAGATTGGAAGAATTCTACAGTGACAAGCTGATGGAGCATTTGTCCACCCCCTCGACAAACACGCAGTGAGAGGGACCACGTGCCGATCCTGGGATCCCAGCCCCGGATATGTGGAGCGTCCTCCTCCAGGAAGCCGAAGACCAAGGTGATATGGAGTTTGTCCCCAGGTTCCATCTGACCCTGCCTGTCCCCACCCATCTAAGGAAGCTGAGCTGCCACGCCCAGCTGTGACAGGGATGGGGTGACCAGTGTTTCAAAGGGCACCTGGGCTTGGACTCGGGCTCACACCCCGGCTCACAGGCAGTGTGACCTCAGGCACGTCGCTGAGCTTCTTAAAGCCTCACAATTGGGGAAAGGGAGAGTGAGAATTTAAGACCAGGCCTGAATCTAGGCCAAGCTCTCAAGGAGTGAGGAATGTAGACCTTGCCTCAGGTGGCCCAAAGGCTGGCAGGAGAGAGACCTGCAAACAGGTTGCCCAATTAAAGTGCCAGGTACAAGACTGCAGGCGAGGAAGGGCGTGTGATGTTTGCATATACATGTGTGCACGTATGAGTGTGTGCACAGAAGCAAACACGAGAGGGATGTCTTTACAAATCAGTGAGGAGAGGACGGACCACCCAGTAAATATGGAGAAGGAAAAAAATAATGGGCTGGCTACCCCCACCACACACCATTCCTCCCCAGAGCTACTAGTTTGCCCCTGTGGGGAAAGTGTCCACTTGGTGTCTAGAGGTGACACTTGGGGGGTACTTTCTCAGGGAAGTCGTGCCACCCATTGTGCTCTTGCAGCCTTTGAGTGGAAGGTTTAAGGAGGAAGGCCACTTATGTTCACTAAACACATGGCATGAGGCAAACCCTGGGCTCGTTTGTGATGGGCATGAGGACATGAGGATATGGGGACATGGGGACACTGGGATACCAGGATACAGGGATATGGGGACACGGGGACAAGGGGACAGGGGGAAGCAGGGACATGGGGAAGCAGGGACATGGGGACATGGGGACACTGAGATACCAGGATACTGGGATACAGGGACATGGGGACATGGGGACCCTGGGATACCAGAATACTGGGATACGGGGACATGGGGACATGGGGAAGCAGGGACATAGGGACATGGGGACACTGAGATACCAGGATACTGGGATACAGGGACATGGGGACATGGGGACATGGGGATATAGGGACATGGGGACATGGGGACACTGGGATACCAGGATACTGGGATACGGGGACATGGGGACATGGGGACATGGGGAAGCAGGGACATGGGGACATGGGAACATGGGGATATGGGGACATGAGGACATAGGGAACACCTTTTCAGGCATCAACCCTCCAAAACACCCACACAAATGAGCAAGGACGATCCGAACAGTCCTCTTTCTAACGGAAATGCTGGAGATGTGCTGAATGTCCAACAACAGAGAGCTAGTTATGTCAGTTACCATATTTCAAGACTTACTATAGTAAGTACAGTAATTTATTTTATTAAATAAAGTAATTACCATAATAAATAAAATGAAATACATTTTAAAAGCAAGACAGTGTGGTATCAGCATAGGGATAGAGAAATAGATCAGTGGTACCAATAGATTTTCATTCATTTGTTCAATTGTTCGATTTTCAATGAAGGTGCCAAAGCACATCAATGGGGAAAGATAAAGTCCTTTCAACAAATAGTGATGGAACGTTTAGATATTCATACCGAAAAATGAACCTTGACTCTTCACTCACACAAGACACAGAAAATAGCTAGAAATGAACCAAAATCTTAACTGTGAATGCTAAAAGTACAAAGTTTGTAAAAATACATAGGTGAAAATATTCATGAATTTGAGATTGACAAAAATTTCTTAGGATATAAAAGGCACTAACCGCAAAAGAAAAACTTGATAAACAGCTTCTTCAACATGAAAAACTTTTGCTCATCAAACAGTGCCATTAGGAACACGAAAAGGCAAGACCCATATGGACTCCGGGTGATAAGGCGTCAGTGCAGGTTCATTGGCTGTAACAAAGGTGTCCGCTGGTGGGGGGTATGGAGAATGGGGGCATCCCTGAATGTGCAGGGTTGGGGTATACGGGAAATCTCTGTACCTTCCTCTTGATTTTACTGTGAACATAAAACTGCTCTAAAAAATTAAGTCTTTAAAACAATTTTTAAAAGGGAACCCACAGATTCAGACAAAACATTTGCCATACATACATCTGAAAAAGGACTTGTCCAGAATATATAAAGATTCCTACAAATTGATAAGAAAAAAGACAAACAATTCAATTTAAAAAATAAGAAAAAGGCTAGAACAGGTATCTGACTAAAAAGTTACCTAAATGGACAATAAGCATAAGGGAAGGTAGTTAACATCCCACGCCATCAGGGAAACTCAAATTAAGACGACAATGAAGTATTATTACACCCCCATCAGAATGGCTACCATTAAAAAGACTGACAATGCAAAAGATGTGGAGCAAACAGAGCTCTCAGGGCAAAACTCTTATGCTAGTGGAAGCAGAAAATTGTACAACCAGTTTGGGAAACTGTTTGGTATTTTCTCACAAAGTTAAACAAACACCTTCTCTATGACCCAGCAATTCCACTTCTGGGTATCTACCCAGGAGAAAAGAAAACATCTGTCCACACAAAGACCTGTACACGAATGTTCATAGCAGCTGTATTCACAATAATTCAAAACTGGAAACAATTGGAGAATGCATAATAAACAAAGCATGGTGTAGCTGTAATATGCATGCAACATGACTCAGCGATAAAAAGGAATGAGCCACCAACACAACGATGATACGGATGGATCTTAAAAAAAGCCAGACACAAAAGACCACATCAGATGAAGTTCAAGGACTGGCAGAACTAGCTCATGAAGTCAGAACAGTGGTAACCTGTGGAGCTCTGAAGGGTGATGCTTAGTTTACCAGGGCTGCCATAACAAAGCCCCACAGGCTGAGAAAGCGAAACAACAGACATTTACTTTCTCACAGTCCTGGAGGCTGGAAGTGTCAGATTAAGGTGTCAGCAGAATTGCTTTCTCCTGAAGCCTTTCTCCTTAGCTTGCACATAGCCGTATTCTCTGCGTCCTCACATGGTCTTCGCTCTCTGTGTGTCTGTGTCCTAATCACCTCTTCGGATCAGACACCAGTCATATTGGATCAGAGCCCACCCTAAGAGCATCGTTTGAACTTAATTACCTCTTTAAAGGCCCCATCTCTACATACGGTCACATTCTAAGGTACTGGCAGTGGGGAATTCAACATGAATTTTGCAGGGACACAGTGAACTGTGTCCATAACTGAAGCCCATAACAGCCCTAAAAATGGGCACAAGGCAGGATGTCTGCTCTCACCCCACTTATTCAACATGGTGGTGGGAGTTCTAGCCAGTGCGATAAAGCAAGAAAAGGAAGTAAAATGCGGGCAGAGCAGAAAGGAAGAAATAAAATTGTTCATGTTTGCAGATGGCATGATTGTCCACAAAGAAAATCCCACGAAGCTACTAAAAACTCCCAGAACTAATAAGTGAGTTCAGCAAGGTCATGGATACCAAATGAATTCACAAAAATCAGCTGAATTTGTACATACTGGCAATGAACAAGCAGACGCTAAAGTTAAAACTACATCACAATTTACACCCATTCAAAAAAAATTTAGGTGTAAATCTAACAAAGGATTCATAAGGCTTACATGCTGAAAACTACAAAAGGCTGACGAAAGAAATAAAAGATCTAAAAAATAGACACGCTGTGTTCACGGATTGATGA